GCTAGCCATAATTATTTGGTTCGAATTTGCCTTTGGCAAGAATTGAACCTAAGACCTCTCACTTACACGTGAAGAGGAATACCACTAGAACGTAGTACTAAGAGGCTGAAAAATACTTTTTGTTTATATTTAATTTAATACTTTAATTATCTGTCAGCAATATTTTCTTATATTTTTTCAAGAAAAGGAAATTGATCAACCAAAGACCTTACCATGCTATTTCTATTTTAACTGTAGCATGCTGCTGTAGTAGTGGATGAAAAATTATACATTGTTGGTGGGAGTCGTAATGGTCGGCACCTATCTGATGTTCAGGTATTGTACATGCTCATGTACTTTTTGACATTGAGGTTCTTCTTTTTTGTGTAATGGATGTAGTACTGGACTCTTCTTGCAGGTCTTTGACTTTAGAAATTTGTTGTGGTCTAAAATTAAACTGAAATCCAATTCCGATAAATTTGAAGACAGTGGCTCACAGGAAGTTCTTCCGGGCATTTCTGCTCACAATATGGTAAAATTTCATGAGACCAGTAAATCTTTGCGTTTATATGTGCATATTATTTGTTTGTATATGTCCAATTCGCTTTTTGTCTTGGTTTTGGTCCCCTTCATTTATGATTCGACATGGTTTTCATTATCCAACTGAACACTTTTGTCTATATCTTGGCAGGTTAGGTGGGGAGACAAGCTTCTTCTTCTTGGTGGGAATTCAAAGAAATCATCTGATAGTATAATAGGTTTGTTACTAGAACAACCATCTTGTTAGTTCATGGACAATGTAGATCTATCATGAGACATGATAGTGCACTTTAATTGGTGTTTAAAACCTTTTGCAATGTTAATGGACTTGTAGTTTGGTTCATCGATTTGGAAACACACCACTGTGGCATCATTGAGACCTCAGGAAATGTACCGGTATGATGGCTGAATCCTTGTTTTTTCTTGTGCTATGTTCTTTCAACTGTAATTAACCTGTTTGGTATGCATGCAAATTATTTTTCAGGTAGCTCGTGGGGGGCAGTCCATGACATTAGTCGGTTCTAGACTGATAATGTTCGGTGGAGAAGACAGGACCAGAAGATTGTTGAATGATGTTAATGTTCTTGATCTAGAGACAATGACTTGGGATATGATGAAAGTAACGTAAGTATCCATACACTTTTATTTTGAAACTTTTGTGCCATGCTTTTAGAAGAGTTCTGCATTACTTTTTTATGTTATGATAGGCAGACACCTCCAGCTCCTAGATTCGATCACGCAGCTGCAGTAAATGCTGAACGCTACCTTCTAATTTTCGGTGGTTGTTCTCATGCTACTTTCTTCAATGATCTTCATGTACTTGACTTGGAAGCAGTAAGTGCTTTACTGATTACATCAGATCTAGTCTAGAAATTCTGCCGTCTGTTCAAACACACACGACATAGATGTGCATTACTTAAATGATTTAATTTATTGATTTACTGTTTAAAAGATGATTTCTGAGTTAGAAGCGTACTGAAGTGATTATTGAAAACTTACGCAGAAGAATATAGTTGGAATTAATATGTTCTTTTGTAATGAAGGCAACAACTATTGTCAACAAATATGAGTTTCTGAGAACATATTTCATTTTATATTTATAAAATTAAATAGATCCCTCTTTCACATTTTTAGATTTGTACCAAAAGTGCTATTCATTGTAAGAGCTCCTTTTTGTAAATTAATGAGTATCTCATGTTTTTTACTTCCATCCTGCTGTATGCCTAGAGGCCTGAATTGAGTGAGCTGGGAACATCTTTATTTGTTTTATTTTTTATTTTTAAATTCTTTTATTGTTTGTATTTGTATACTCTCTTTTGGTCTTGAGATCAGAAAATTCATACTTCATTTGAATCAGTAGAGGACTGCATGCATCAAATTTATGATGTGTGGTCCACTTGCCATTATGGAATGTTAAAGAGTTTTTGGTGAACTTTAGACATTATATGGTTTCGGGAGCATAACTTTTGAAAGTTTTTCGTATACCTTGAAAGATAATTATGCCATCCTATACTAACAATAAGAATAGGTTGAATGAAAAATTACTGTTAGTTGTAACCGAAAAATGAATAATTAGTAATAGTATGATATTCCATGCTTTTTAAGCTGTACAGTTTTCCAGTTAATTGCCGTATTTTCTCTTTTTATGTTTCTTGCCCACAATTTGCCATTACTTTTCAGATGGAGTGGTCCCAACCACAAATTCAGGGTGATCTTGTTGCTCCTAGGGCAGGTCATGCTGGTATAACCATTGATGAGAACTGGTATATAGTTGGTGGTGGAGATAACAAAAATGGTATACATAATTATTGCTTACTGAATCTTACTATGAAACTATGCCCACTAAATATGGAACCGTGGCTTTTACCTACTGTAAATGTACTTTTCTAGCTTTTTATGACATAGACTGTAAAATTATACAGGTTGCCCCGAAACTCTGGTGTTAAATATGTCTAAGCTAGTGTGGTCAGTCTCAACCAGTGTTAAGCAAAGGGATGCACTCGCTAGTGAGGTCTGTTCATTTCTTTGATTATATATGTTTCTCCGAGAAGTTTCAATCCGAAAGAAATTTGGTTGACTGCATCCATTGACATACAGTTCCATAGAAATACTAAAAGAAAATATACTTGTGACGTTTGGTCATTATTCTAGTATGACTTGTGCACCACGTTGTTCCATAAAAGGTTTTTTGCTCCAGGTGTAACTGAATATCGTTTATGGATCATGCCTTTTATGACTAAACATAAAATTCTAGTTTATTGGTTTGTACTTGAGCTATGAATGTGATTCGGAAACAGGGACTCACTGTCTGCTCAGTGACCATAGATGGAAAGAAGCATTTGGTTGCCTTTGGTGGGTATAATGGGAAATATAGCAATGAGGTATGTTATTCAATGACATATTTCATGTTCATTATTTACAAGCCTATGTTGCATGAGGTATCTCGTGCATTCCCTTATATGGTTCTTTGCCTTTCTTTTCTTACAGGTTTTTGTAATGATGCCCAAACCGAGGGACTCATCACAACCCAAGATATTCCAGTCACCAGCAGCAGCTGCAGCGGCAGCTTCTGTTACTGCTGCATATGCCTTATCTAAAATAGAAAATTTTGATTCCAAAACAGCAGAGCTGAACTCCAAGGGACCTGAAAACCATCATTATGAACAAGATTTAACGGTTGAGGTAGAGGCCCTTACAGAGGAGAAAAGTATGCTGGAGTTGTCACTTGTGGAAGTCAAGGCAGAAAATTCCAGGATCGGGCAGAATATTGAAGAAGTCAACAGTACTCATGCTGAGTTGTCCAAGGTATACTCCTTAGAGACACTGGTTACTAGGGTGATTATTGTGTTTTGGAGTCTCTCATCCTTGCAACCTTTCCTTTCAGGAACTTCTTTCAGTCCAAGGACAACTAGTAGCTGAGAGATCAAGATGCTTTAAATTGGAGGTTTCTCCTTTCATAATTAGTTTTAACTTATTTGGATTGGGTTGGGTTGTTTATTGATGTGCCCTGTAACGAATGTAATGTGTTCTACGTAGCAGCTGATTTTGTTCTTACATTGTTTTCCTAGGCTCAAATCAGTGAACTGCAAAAGAAATTAGAATTGGTGCAGTCCATTGAGGATGAGGTGCAAGCACTTCGGGGTCAAAAATCTGCATTGGAACGGGATGAGCTCAGCTCGTCTGCTGAGAGACAAGGTTCTGGGGGGGTTTGGCGATGGATTGCTGGGGGTGGTGGTGACTGAAAAGAGTCGCAAGGTCAGTTCAGGAAAACATGACAAAAAGAGAAAATGATAGACGTCAGTGCCGAAACATTTCAACGGAAAGCTCATACACCTGGTTATCTGTCCTAGCTCCGTCAAGAAGGTGAGGCAGATCCCAGCAGCGGCCTACTGGAAGCGGTGGCCTACAGAAAGCGTTCTTATTACGATAGCCAGTAAAAGGATGAAAATTTAGAGTCTTAAGTTACAGGATTTTTACACACCATGTTTGTTTGTAATTCATGAACATCCATTTGATCATTTTTTTTTTCATCTTTCTATTTATATTCATGTTTAAATCGATAGAGCCGTTGGATTTGTATTGTGTATGTACGACACAGTTCAAAATCTTTATGTTCTAGTGGTCTCAGAAAAAAATTGATTGATATTTAATTTTCTTGGCTAACAAGTTACTTGTACCCCAGCCAACCTCAATCATGCGGATCTACTTTCACACCGTCAAAACCAAGGAGGCCCACAAACACGACAAGGACAAAAGATCAATTCCACAGCAGATCTTACTCAAATCCAGTACTAAGACTCGGTGTTTGTTTGCCCTTGTTTAGTTCCAATGTAATGGATTGCCTTAGCTAAGACCGTTAGTCTATGTTTGGTGCGATCATGGACCAACTTAAATGAGATTAAGTTGGACTCGCTCTGACTAAAGGCTTTGCTAGGTCAGTTTGGTGAGACCTCCGAAAGGTATGAGATTGCTAATCCTAGATTCACTCGAATTGGCTCGAATTGCAAAACCCATATTCGAAAATGACCAAAACACCATGCAAGAGTAAGGACCGTACACAATGTCAAATTCGGGACGAAAATGAAACAGGAGGTGAAGTTGGGGACCAAAAAATATTACATCTCTCTACTTAGTATTAGAGCCATGTGGTATTTCGCTTTTTGCAAGTGAGAGATTCTAGGTTCGATTCTCGTTAAAGATGAATTTGAACCACATTATTATTAGTCCATTGTGAGGCTAAGCCACCCCTCCCACTTGAAATTTTTTTCAATGTGATCGGAACACGGGTTGGTATACTACGTGTCACTATATAAATAATGGTGTAATTTGTGTGCTAAAAAGTTAATAACTTAAATAAAATTTCTTATCACTTACATAAAAACACATGATGTACCCGTGTTCCCGTCACAATGAAAATTTATCTTTTCACTTAATGTACATGATATCGTTGTTTAAAAAATAAAAAAAAATAAACATTTCGATCTCTTTCATTGGGCTGGAAGTGCAGCTTCTCTCTTGTATTTGCACTGCCGAGGTTTTCATGCTCCTCTTTTGACTGCAACTTCAAACATGAATGCATCAATTTGTAGAGCTTCTCCATAAATACACAAGCGTCGTCCGTCTTCCAGGCTCACAACGACGAAGAACGCTCCTATAACGGGTCAGTCTCTCTCTCTCTTGACAGCTCTCTTTGTATCGTAGAATTAAGGGTGTAATTAATTGTACTCGGTATTTCTCCCAAGTGATTAGTGATAAGGAAGTATTTGGAAGATTGGGTTATGAATTGCATCCCCTTCGATTTGTTTTTTTGTTTTTGTTTTTGTTTTGCATTAGTGAAGAAAGTTTATCTGCATTTCATCAACAAACAAGAACGCATTTGGCTAATTATAATATTCTCTGGGCACCCGATAAATCTCGGCCGATAAACTGCAGAATGGGGAGGTTTTAAGGACATAGAAAGAGGAGAAGAAACGCAGAGAAAGGGGAGGAAAAGTTGTATTATTAGGGTCTAATTTATCCTTTACCGCGGCGGGTGCCATTGAAGCATGGTAACAAATCTTTGGGGGGATATTGATGCAGTTGAAGGTTTCGGGCTTACTTTGATTATCGGGCGATAGTTTTAGGGGGATGGTAATTTATAAGATAGATGAGGTTTTTAATTTCGGTTGGAATCAGCCAACATGGAGTTAACCCTTTCAAAACCGAAGGCCAAACTCGATTATTCTTTATTTCACATGTTACTCAGATTCTTCTATCGTTTGTTATGATTATTCAGATTATTGTAATTTCTCATACAGTTATGTGGCGTGTTTCTGATTGATTCGTTGCATTTTGTGCCTTTGAGAATAGCAGGCAGTGGCAGATGTACAACCCAACCAGAACCTTTGATGAGGGCTGTGTAAGTTGGTCATCACTAAATATGCAGAAAATGAATTTTTTTTGGGTTCAAAGAGTTTGATTATTGTGGGACTTGAGATGAAGAAAGTTGAACAAATTTGGAAGCTTAACCCACCAAATTAGACCCCATGAGAATATTCGAAAGCTCCAAACTCAACCTCTTCAAGTTCAGAGCTTCTATATTAAGCTCACAAGTGACCCCTTTTGGCCCCTTCAATTCCTTTGTACAAAAAAGATGGCTAAAGCCTGAAATTTCAGCCCGAACACGATTAGAAGACCGAACCAGGGACTCAAAGCTAGACAAACTAACAACCCACCTCAAGAAGCTCGATATCATCCTAAAACTACAAGACCTCATGTCCAATCGGAAACGTGGTCCCTTTGTGTCCTTGCAACTAATGTCTCGATGGAGGAACCTTGTGGGGCTTAATGTAGGCATTGGTGCCTTTGTTCACAAATACCCACATATTTTTGAGGTGTTTACGCATCCGGTGCGGCGCAGTTTGTGTTGCAGGATCAGTAAGAAAATGAGGGGTTTAATAGAGGAAGAGGCAATGGCTATGAAACAATGGGAATTCGAAGTTGTTCATCGTGTAAAGAAGTTGTTGATGATGTCTGTGAGTGGCACTCTGCATGTCCACGCTTTGAGGCTGGTCAGGAAAGAATTTGGATTGCCCGAGGATTTCAGAGAATCCATCCTTGGTAAATATTCAAAGGATTTTAGGTGGATTGATTTAGAGGTTGTAGAACTGATTAGTAGAGATGAGAATTTGGATGTTGCTGAAGTTGAGAAATGGCGAGAGAAGGAATTTAGAGAGAAGTGGTTGAGTGAGTTCGAGACAAAGTATGCATTCCCTATAAATTTCCCAACAGGGTATGAAATCCAAGCAGGATTTAGAGATAAGTTGAAGAATTGGCAAAGGCTTCCTTACGTGAAGCCTTATGACAGGAAAGAGGTTGTCAGCATTCGTAATTGTGGAGGGATAGAGAGGTATGAGAAACGGGCGGTTGGTATTCTTCATGAGTTCTTGAGTTTGTCAGTACAGAAGATGGTTGAGGTTGAAAGATTAGCTCATTTTCGGAAAGATTTTGCTATGGTCGTTAATGTGCGGGAGCTTATCTTGAAGCACCCTGGAATTTTTTACATATCAACCAGACGTAATACTCAAACCGTTTTTCTTAGAGAGGCATATAGTAAAGGGTGCTTAATTGAGTCTAATCCGATATATGATGTTCGGAGGAAAACTTTAGACCTTGTTTTCCTAGGGTGTCGAAATACTAGAGGAATGCCAGCTCCAGAGGAAATTAAGGCGTTCAAAGTAGATTTGGATGTCAAAATGGATGGTGACTGGGTTATTCCAATGTTAGAGAACTTGGACAATGGAAGTTGAAATTGGTAATTCAAGGTTTCATAAATACAATGCGACTTGAAATTAGTGAAATGGATATAATTATTGAGCGATGGAAAATGTTAACCCTTTGATGATGATCCATATTTTTCAACATGTGTCATCTGCAAAATAACTTAAGTTGAACCCTTCAATGAAGACTGCTTGCCCCCAACAGACCACTCTAGCTAACTCAACCTGCCGACAATGTGGTAATGACACTTCCCTCTTAAGAAATATCTGTTGATATTTATTTTGTCGCAGATGATCTTAACCATATTATTATTTTTGTGTTCGAAAAAAGGATCTTCTACTTGGTCTGATAAATTTTACTATTTAGTTTACAATGCCGCATCATTGTTTATTCATATACTTAATTTTGTTCTAGTAATGGCTCGCTAACCACCAATATAACTTTTAGAGGATTATTTATACCATATTCACTATCCATCTCATAATTTATCTAGTGCTGAAACCAGTATATGTGAGAACATGAAAACCTCAGCTGGTCTTGAACTCTAAGAAAGTCTGGAATACTTGCACATGCCATATTAACCTTTATTTGTATGCTGGAGAGTCTTATCTTCTTTCTTGGGAAATACTCTGTCCTTTCATGTTTACTTTATGCATAGATCCATATGAAATTTATGTTGGTCCAGATGCCAAACTAAGATAGTGAGCGAGGAAAAGAGGTTCAGAGTCAGTAATTTTCTGTTTTATAATATCTTAAGAATGGGGAAGAAATTTCTTCAATAAATTTTGTAGAAATATTACATTTCCACATAGCAGATACAACCCAAATGCTGAAAGTACATTCTTCAATAATTGCCTTCTCCAATAAAGACATGATGTGGTTTCTTTTCTTTTTTGGTAATTCGAATGATACAAGAGGATGGTGGTCTCACTCTATGGACGAGTTTTGTTGCCTTTTTTCTCCTTCTAACATTAAGATATTAACACTGTCCATCTGGTTAAATAGTTGGAAAAACTAATTCTCAGAAAGGTTGGAAAGAGATGATAAAAGAGGTCCAAAATGTTGTGGTTGATACTTTTAGGTTTGTACTGCAAACTCTCTTTGTACTCATATCCCTTCATGGATGAATTGTTTGATATTAGAATTGCCTCATGTATGCCGAAAAAGACTTCTTGCCTTAAACGACGATGCCTTTGTATCTTTCATAAAAGCTTAATGACTTTTGCTGACCAGATGAATCCTAGGGGGAGGGGCTAGGTGTTAGGAGGACGACTTGATATTTTACTATATCTTGTTGAAATGAGTTTTTACTGTGTGTTTTTTGCTTAGTCTTTGTGACTTGTCTGATCTGTTTCCTGACTGATCTGTCATCTGTTCTACACGTATAACTCCATTTTGCTATGTTGTGAAAACAATGATGTGGTCATATTTTTATCGTGTATTTCCTTTGGATTTTGCACATTTGAATGGGTTACATGGACTAATTTTATTGTTTCAATTTGTAGGCATTCGATACTGGAGTTAGATGAAAAAAAAGTGGAAAATGAGATTTTCAGATATCTAGAGTAATTCCAATGGAGCAAGAGGCTAATTCACTGCGCCAAGACATATGCATTACAATAAGAAGATGAAACTACATAGGTTTTGGAGATCAAATTGACATGGGATGCTATCAATTGACTTCAGGAGAGACTTAATAGCTTGCCGTGGGTTTATATCAAGGAGATTCATTCTCCTTGTGAAGACTATATTGCCACCAAAACTATCATATTCACAAGGGCATACGGCTTTTTGGCACAACAAGGAGGAAGAGCTTTTCTAGGGTTTTTCTTTTCTAGGGGTACAATGTAGCTCTGTCATGAATATTTAATTTCCTTTTGGCATTGTTATTATCAAGTTTTTCTTCCTTACTATCTTTTGCTATTCATAATGTGCTTAATTTTTATTTAGATGCTTGATCACCATCGAAGTTTTAATTTAGTTGATTTGATGCCAGTGAGAGTAGATATCATACTTGGGTTTTAGCTTCTTGCAATTAGGATTTATGTGATTTTCCAACAATTTCCATGTAGCTAAATGGATTCTTGTTTAAATTCGTCTAGATGTCATAGAAAGTTAACATGTAAGGATACTTTTGATGCAACTAGATACCATGTCCATTAAATAATTTAGGGAAATCGATCATCAATATTAGAGAATTACGTGTTGATTACATATTAAGAGGAATTAAGTAGAATTGGTTACGGTGAATTCGGATGCCCTGGGTCTTGTTTTCTATGTTTTCAATTCATTATTTCAATGCGTTTATTTTTCAAGCTTAATATAAACTTTCAGTTTAATTAAAATTTTCTCTACTTTCCGTTAAAGCTTCTCAATTGTAATTTGTTTCAGTTTAGTTAGTTAAACTTTTAGAATCAATTTGATCTTTGATGGGACGATATTCGTGCTGATTTGCCATACTATCATCCTATTCGTATACTTTCGGGCATTAAAATTCGAGACTTAATGAGGCTAATTTTGGTCATCTAATTTTCGCAATGAACAACATTACAAGAATGCCTTGTTTTTGGTGGACGAGAGGGAAGTTAGGCTAGAAGTCTGCTTGCCCGATATATCAGGACATATTTCAGTGGCTCATTCAAGTCATTAATCATCAGGACCTCTCATCGAATTACTTCAACTCCCATAGTTGGGTCACCATTCTTTTTCATTTGTAAGTGAAAGATCTTTAAGTTCAATTCTTGTCAAATGAGAATTTGAACCGCATTGATTGCCCATGGTGAGGTTAAATTATGGAGGGTTTTTTTTTTTTTTTTTTTTTTTTTTTTTTAACAAACGATATTATCTACACTAAAGAGTGGGGAAGTGGGCTAAGTCTAGCTATAATAATTTGGTTCGAATTCACCTTTGACGATAATTGAACTCAAAACCTTTAATTGACAAGAGATACATATCACTAGACTGCAATACTAAGTAGCTAAAAACTCCCATAATTGGGTGTAAAACATATGATGAGTGAGCAATACATGCTAGAAAAACATGGGTTGGTTCTTGGAATGGAAAACATGGATCGTTCTTGAATGGAAAAAACACAAATGTACAATTCTAACGACAATTACGTGCTTCGTAATCTCCAACTCCTTCCACCTGAAACTTTATTTTTTGATAACTCGATTATCCCAGAATGGCAGATAAAAAGGCATTACAATCTAGAGACTATTTGCTGTTTGTTTTGTAAAGTAACCAGTTCCTTCCTTAAGATTTTACTTGCTGGTGACCGAGGAATGGCAGAGATGAAGTGCACTCTTCTTACTTTTTTGTAGGGAGCCACCTGAAATTTTCAAGTACAAAAGTTACAAGACTGTTTCTCAAGATTAATGGCTACTGAAACACATGAAGAATCAAGATTTAAGACTGACCTGGCCGGCAACAAATTGGATGACTTGGTCTTCAGTGAGTCCATCTGGAGTAGCTGCTCTCACCACATATGCCATCGGTATTTGTCCTGCTTCTTCGTCTTCAACACTGCATTCTTTAATCATATTATATACAGAGATAGATATATAGATATGGATACAGATAAGCCTGCTCATGAGCATACAGAAAGAGGGAGGTAAGTTACGCACGGTATAACAGCTGCATCCAGAATTTGAGGATGACTCAATAGTATGGCCTCCAATTCCGCCGGAGCAACCTGGTATCCGTTATGCTTGATGAGCTCCTTGATCCGATCGACGATGTAAAGAAGTCCTTCCTCATCAAAGTAACAAAGATCACCAGTTTTGAGCCAGCCATCTGAGTCGATAGTGGCAAGTGTTGCTTCCACATTCCCCAAATACTCTTTCATAATAGTAGGGCTCTTCAGCCACAGCTCTCCTTCCTTATACGGCGGCAAGGCCTCCCCAGTTTCGACATCCACTATCTTAGCCAAAAAACCCGGCAGCAGCTCCCCACAAGAGGCGGAGTGAGCCTTAGCCTGCTTGTCTGAAATGAAAAAAGTTGCCGCACCACAGCTTTCCGTTAGGCCATAGCCTGGTCTCATCTCAACCCAAGGAAACCGCTTTCTAAACTCATCAATCAATTCTTTACTCAACGGTGCAGCCCCTGAGCCGACCCTCCTCAGAGACGACAAGTCGCAGGCAGTTTTGCTCGCATGCTTTACTAGTCCAAGAATCACTGGAGGCACAGCTGGTATGTTGCTCACTTTGTGAGTTTTTATAGCATCCAACATGTTGTTGAGCTCAAACCTTTGCATCAAAACAGTGGTGGTTCCTCCGCAAAACAATCCAAGGCCGAAGAAAGCGAGCCCGTAGATGTGGAACATAGGAATGAAGCACAAAAATACATCGTCTTGCGCTGATGTTTTGTCCACCGTCCATCTGAGCATTGCGATAATGGCAATGAAATTTGCATGTGTTAGAACTACACCTTTACTTATCCCAGTAGTCCCAGAGGAGTACAAAATAGCAGCAGTGTCCGACTGAGTTGGACGGGCTTGCATCAAGTCGGTCGGATTGGGATCACACCCTTCAATCAACTCTTCAATGGTGAGTGAGGTATCATCACTCAACGGCCTCGATGTTAAGATTGTAGGCACCCCAGTTGGGACCAATTTGTGAAGCTCCTCAGGAGATGAAATAGCAAGCTTGGCGCCCGAATCGCGAACTTGTTTGCCGATTTCTGACTCGGTGTTGACCGGATTTGCCGTTGTTAAAATTGCACCAATTGACAACACTGCCATGCATATGGTTGGGTACAAAAGTGAGTTAGGGGACAAGAGAAAAACCACATCCCCTTTTCGAACACCAAGTCCCTGGTACAATCCTGAAGCGAGAGCATGAACTGAATGACGAAGCTGTTCATAGGTAACTCGCCCGTTGGTGGCCGAGTCAATGAGTGCAACTCTTGTCTCGGCCTGATGACGGGGTGGAAACTGCGACAAAACAAATGTGGCCGTGTCGAGGTTATGCCTGGTGGGGACTTTGTAACGGTGACCAAGGTTGAGAACGGAGTGATATATTCCGGTTTTTGGATCGAAACCATTTGTAGTATCTCCGGCGACGTAGACTCCATCCCCGCCGGAGAACTCTTCGAGAGACATTATGCTGTTGGAAATTGATGTGTTTGCAAATGTGGTACATTAAAGTTTGGTGTAGCATAATGCAAATAAATAGGACAGTAATTAGGGTTAAATTAATGTTTTCCGAAGATGACAAGATCGAGGCTTAACATTGTTTAAAACGTCAATCAAAGTTAGGATTATAGTTAATTGCTTCAAAAATTCATATGTTCTTAGACCATCTCCAATCATTGGGTTAAAAACTAAAAAATTTAGCCCAAAAAATTTAGATTTTTTCCAACCCTTCTGGCCTAAAATTTAGCCCTCAGATTATTAAATAATGAATTTAGGTAAATTGTTTTTCTTCTTAAAGTAACTTTTTTAAAAGAAAAAATTATGTAAACTATCATAATTAACATTTTAACCTAAAAATATTTAGATTCTAACAAATATTGAAAAATTACAAACCGACATCATGAAACTCGTTAAACATTATGAAAAAAAAATATGAAACACATAAGAGATTTTTTTTTTAATTACTTTAGTCGTTAGATTTAAATTTGGACCGTTAATTTTTTATTTTTTTTCACTGTTGAATTCATCAAATTAGATCTTAACCGTTAAATTTAATGAATTTATAAATATAAAACTAAATAAAATACACATATATAATGACCCAGCCCCACTAATCCTGGGCTAAATCTGGCTTTTTTTTAGTTTTTAGCATTTAGTCTACACATTTAGCATGAATTAGGTTGAGTTTGGGAGGAGTAAAACCTAAAAAATAGCATTTAGCCCAGGTTGGATTTGGTTTTAGTGGCCGGCAAAAGAATTCAAAGGAATCTTCATTGAATTTATGTTTTATGTTTTTTCCTTAAACGATACGTAATATGCTTGGTTGTGTAGGACATGGACTAAATCCAATTAACTTCCATATACCTGCCGGCTGCCGTACACAAGAAACAAAAAACTTGGTATTTAAAGTGTTGATGGATCATAATCCGTGTTATAAATCGTAAATTACTAGTTGGTGGGTTGACGATCGGTAGAAATGGCTCCAACATTTCAAGGACGAGAAATCAATATAGAACAACTATCAAAGCGTGTTGTATTTTATCACAAAAAAAAACTGAATGCAATTAGAAGTGTATTTTATCGCAAAAAAGCAAGCAACCATCAATATAAATTGTAATTTATAAAATCACATATAAAACAAGAAGTACTCTTTATTTTTTCTTTTCATTTCTACCACTAGTGGCCGACCATGACTTAAAGAAACGCTTTTTGGGTCAATGCTTGTGGCCATTCCTGGAAGTGGATAGGAATGACCCAATTAAATATTTCCCCTGCACAGAGACATTTGCAATGCACCTAGCCAAGACTGTTTGTCCATCAATGGCTTTTGTGACAACATCTCAAGGAAACTCCTCTGATTCCAACACTTTTCGGGGTTATCGCTACGACGTGTTCTTGAGCTTCAGAGGTGAAGACACTCGCAAGACTTTTACCGACCATCTCTACACAGCCTTGAACAACGCAGGATTTCTCACGTTCCGAGACGACAATGAACTTGAGAGAGGAGAAGATATAAAGCCAGGACTACAGAAAGCGATCCAGCTATCACGAACTTCTGTTGTCGTGTTTTCGAAAGATTACGCGTCATCCAGATGGTGCCTCGATGAGCTTGTGGTGATCCTTGAACACAAGAGGACTTCAATTGATCATGTAGTTTTACCAATCTTCTACGATGTCGATCCGTCCCACTTGAGGAAGCAGACGGGAAGTATTGAAAAAGCATTTGCTGAACACCAGAGAACTCAGTCGTCAAAAAAGGTGAAGGGATGGAGAGAGGCA